ATAAGGGGACCTTGTTTTGAGACTGTGGACAAAACCACCATATTTTTTCTTTTCTTCCCTTCCTTTCTTCCTTCCATCTTTTCTCCCTTCCTTTCCTTCCCCCCTCTCGTAAATTTCCATCTAACCAGATTTCCCAGTTCCCATTCTTATGTAACCAAATTGTTGGAACCTCAGCACAGAATCTAGCACTCTAGTGACTTTCCTCTTGTTGGTTACAACCCAACTTCACAATCTGCCAGGGCTGCCTGAATCTGCGCCAGTCTCGCAGTGTGTGGAGCTTGCGCTCAGCCAGCCGCCATCTGCAGGGTGAAGGGCCTCCTGACAGTACCGAGCAGCCCAGGCTGGGATGGAGCTCTGGGACACCCCACAGAGACATGCTTCAGCTTTATCAACACTGTTCCATTTTCAATCCAAGTCTCCATCGTCCAGCTCACATGTCTGTCTGGTGCACGTAAAGACAAATGCCAAATGCGTTGCTGGATCAAGATAGATAGTCTGGGGCCATCCAGTTGCAATGGCAGAGGGACTGGGAACTTGGCTGGTGTTCAAGGGCCTCGGCTTAATCTTTTCCTAAATATTCAGCCACCCAACTAGAAACCTGTTCTGGAATTTGCCATGCGTGGATGTCAAATTGTTCTGGTCTGTTCAGCATCTACCTTTTCCGCTTTGGGAGGAGCTCTTGTGAGGTAAGTCTGTCCGTTAATGGCTTCCCCCAACACTGAGCATCAAGTCCGAAGTTCTCTCCTTGGTCACAGGTGCTTCCCACCTGCCCCCACCACTGACCTCACTTCCTGGGTCCCTCACCTGCCTCCAGCCCAGGGGCCTCCTTGCTTTTCCTTGAACACGTCAAGTCTGCTCCCACTTGAGGGCCTTTTCACTGGCTGCTCTTTCTGTCCAGAGCACTTCATTTCCCTGCAGCCACTGGGCTCATTCATTCATTTCTCTGCTCACCTCATGAGAGGGGCCTTTCCTGACCACGCTGCCTGTCAAGTCAGCCTGCTCCCAACACCCACATAATTCTACCACTAGCTCCCTATCTTTATTTTTATTCCTATCACTAACCACCGACTATTTATTTATTTATTTATTTACTAGAGGCCCAGTGCATGAAATTCGTGCACAGGGAGGGTCCCTAGGGGCTGCCGGCTGCCGGCTGGGAAGAAGAGCTGTGGGCAGTTGGCCAGCCGGCCCTGCCCCCTGGTCGAACTCCCAGTCGTGGGGACAATTTGCATATTAGGTTTTTATTATATAGGATTTATTCCTCTTTGCCCCTGATTGGATGGAAGTTCCATGAAGGCAGGGACTTTTTTGTTGTTCCCTGTTCCATCCCAGCACTGGAATGGTGCCAGGCACATAGTAGGTGCTCAATAAATGTTTATTGAACACATGAATCCACAAATCTCTCAGGACTCCACGTGGATCCCCCACCACTACTTCCTGACTCCGACCTCAGTGTCTCCCTCTCCTAGCCCTCCTGGGGCCTTCCTGCCTGGTGCCTATTTCCTAATTTAAGACCCTTCTCCTTGGTGGGGAAGAAGGAATAGTACACCTCCCTGACACTGCCTTCCTCGGGATGAGGGCTCAGTCAGCCTCCCTCTCTGTCCCTTCTCACTCTGAACACAGATTTAAAGGCCTTTTTAAAAAATGGGAGGGGGGAGAACACGTTCTTTTCTGGGTGTTTATCTCTTCAAAATCATACAAAAAATGTTTAAAGTGCCCATCAGGGACCCTGCCTGCCGACTTTGCCATCCTCCCAGCCATCCTCAAACACCTCCATCCCCCTCTAGCCTCACCCGGAGGCTCTGCCACCCTTTCTCCCTTGTTCCACTCCCACCTTCTACTCCCTGACACTCCTCAAAGACAGTAATTTGCAACCTCTGCCTTGACAGATGCTGTCTGCTCACATTTCTAGCAGCCCCAGATCCACACTCCAAATATCACCTCCCTCTCCTCCCCTGACCCCAAGAGGAAGCAGCACACTGAGTTGGGGCTCAGCCTCTTTATCTGGCAGCAAGAAAGGGGGTGGCCCAGCTCTGATGGAAGGGGGAAGACGTCAGGAGGCCTCCATGGAACAGCTCCAACCTGGGGGTGAGCGGAGTTGGGGGGCACTTGGAGAAGAAGGGGCAGAGCGGGGATCACGCCCAGCCTTCCTGTAGGACAGAGCCTGGGCTGCACCGTCACTCCTCCTCTTCATCATCTTCCTCCAGGGGAGGCCGGTTCCGCTTGAAGAAGCCAACCTGGGGGTGCACAGGGCCAGGGCCAGGTTATAAAGAGGATCCTTAGGCCCCAGAGCAGCACTGGAAGAAGCAATTACGCTGGAAACCAGCCAGCCATGAGGTCCTCTCCTGGACCAGCACAAAATATGGACCCCACTGTTTGCACAAATGAAAGCCTTTCCCCATTTAGGGATAATACATGTAACAATTGAAAAATATGTTTTGCTTTTTCTTCCCTGAGTTTTTCTTTTTTTTTTTTTGATATATTTTATTGATTTTTCACAGAGAGGAAGGGAGAGAGATAGAGAATCAGAAACATCGATGAGAGAGAAACATCGACCAGCTGCCTCCTGCACATCTCCTACTGGGGATGTGCCCGCAACTCAGGTACATGCCTTGACCGGAATTGAACCTGGGACCTTTCAGTCTGCAGGCCGACGCTCTATCCACTGAGCCAAACCGGTTTCGGCTCCCTGAGTTTTTCTTAAATACTGATGACTGTGTCTCTATATGACTCAGGTGCAGGATGATGATATATTTAATTTATTTTAAGTCTAAAGTGTGGTTTTCCCCAAAAGCACCACGTTTCCCAGGGCTTGGCACCTGAGTGAGCTTGAGACCAGCCCATGTGTTCTCCGGGCACAGAGGAGGGAGGGGCCCACCAGGGCCTCATTCGGAGCGGGGAGCAGGGTCTGGATCAGTCCTGACAAGGGGCAGGGAGGAGGTGGACCCCGTCCTCCACAGCAGCCGGGGAGTTCCTGGAGGCAGGACTCACTCCCCGTGACTTCCTCTCAGGGGTGAACGGGTCTAAAGGACTTAGCATCCCAGGAGCCACCTCCTCCAGGAGTCTGTCCCGGGAAGAGGTCCCCTGGAGAACGACAGTCTGATAATGGAGATGTAGCCCTGGCCAGTTTGGCTCAGTGGATATAGCGTCAGCCTGCGGACTGAAGGGTCCTGGATTTGATTCCGGTCAAGGACACAAGCCCGTATTGTGGGCTCAATCCCCAGTAGAGGGCGTGCAGGAGGCAGCTGATCGATGTTTCTCTCTCATCGATGTTTCTAACTCTCTATCCCTCTCCCTTCCTCTCTGAAATCAATAAAAATACACTTAAAAAATAATAATGGAGATGTACATCAGTAGGGGGCTGGGTCACCCACTTGGACCACTGCCTCTCTCTGCCTCCCTGTGCGGGTGGGCAGGGCCAAGTTTGTGCCCACGAGGGACCCTCCCCTCCCTTCACGCCTCACCTTCCACATGGCCAGGACCAGGAGTGTGAGCAACAGCAGGCCACTCAGCACGCCCACCAGCACCCACCAGATGGGGACGTCCCGCTCCTCCAAGGCCCGAAGCAGCTGCGTCTGCACCTGGGACAAACCGGCGCCTGTCCTCAGTCACCCCGACACCTGGCTTTTCCAAACCTCAGACCCGTGGGGTGGAGACACCTGGCCCAGCCATCTGCCAGTCCCACCCTTCAGACCCAGGGAGGCCCGCCCTCATCCTGCCCCACAGGACACAGGGGCTGCCCATCTCCTTGACAACATTCTCCCATACTCACCAGAGCTTCTCCACTGGGCAGGCTGAGGGCGGGCACGTTGTAGGGAAGGGACGAGACATTGAACCAAGCCTGCGACTGCAGCACAAATTGATCCAGGGGCCTCTGGATGGGGTGGGGGAAGCCGTTCACACAGGCCTATTGGTTGCAGGAGTCCCAGCGCCTGACCACCCCCTTCCTGGGGGAGCCTGCCCCTGCCCTAATCTCAACCCCTTCAAAGTAACCCCCGCAATGAACAATTAAAAAAAAAAGAAAACAAAGTAAACCTGGTCTTTACTCTCTGCTCGCCCCCCAAAGCCCCGCCTCTCCCCAAAGCTCACTCAGCCCCGCCTCCAGAAGGCCCGCCCCTGACGTCATGCCCACCTGGCGGAGGCTGGGCAGCCACAGCAGGGCGTGCACCGTGACCATGGCCCGCTGCCCGCGCTCCATCTCCTGCAGCTCACACTGCACCACAGTGCAGGGCGCCGAGTCGCAGCTCTGAGGGGATGTGCAATGAGTCCCAGCCCCTCCTGACCCGCACCCCCTCATCCCAGGGGCCCAGCACGGAGGGAGTGGGGCAGCGCAGTGTGTGCGCGTGTGTGGGAGGGGCAGTCAGGGAGCTTGGGCCTCAGGAAGGGCCTCCGGTCCAACTTTCAGAGTTCTCTCTAGATCAGTGGTTCTCAACCTGTGGGTCGCCACCCCTTTGGGGGTCGAACGACCCTTTCACAGGGGTCGCCTAAGACCATCGGAAAACACATCTATAATTACATATTGTTTTTGTGATTAATCACGATGCTTTAATTATGTTCAATTTGTAACAATGAAAATACATCCTGCATATCAGATATTTACATGACGACTCATAACAGTAGCAAAATTATAGTGATGAAGTAGCAACGAAAATAATTTTATGGTTGGGGGTCACCACAACATGTGGAACTGTATTAAAGGGTCGCGGCGTTAGGAAGGTTGAGAACCACTACTCTAGATGGAGTTGTTCACACAGTCCCGGGGATCCAGGGAGGGGGCGGGAAAAGCGGCCATCAGACAGTATTCAATGCCCAGAATGTTGGCACCCTGCTCTGGCCTGTATTCATTCGTTTCAATGTCCTGAGAATCTTAAAAAAACCCAAGTGCCCCCTGCCCCGCCCAGACAGACCAGCACAAACGGACTGAGGCGGCCACCCAGAGGCCCACATCACTCGAAGCCCCTCTGCCTCCCACCCCCTGTCCCTGGGCTCCAGGGAGAAGAGACCCCATTTGGAGACCACAGAGCCTGCTCACCACAAGAACTGGATCCTGAAGCCTCGATGGCTGCTTGGACCCTGACAAGAACGCCTGCCTGCGCTCCCGCTTGTGGTGGCCCCGGGAAGCGGGGGAAGGAATTGGGGTGGGCACCCCCAAGTCCAGCTGGGGAGGCAAGGCAGCTGTCAGATCCCACACTCTGCCCGTTGCCCTGCGCTCCTGGAGGAGTCCTGGCTGATGGGCTGGGACTCCCCAGCAGCTCCTTCTTCCACCCAGGCTCTCACCTTGAGGGGGTTGGGGGAGGGCTGTGGGGAGCACTGAAGCCCCCCCTGAAGCTGTATATCCAGGATGTAGAGCAGGTCAGAGAACTGGGACTGGCCAGGGAGGTGGATGCTGAGGTGGAGGCCGCTGACAGTGCCAGGGCCGTTGTTGTGGAGCTGGTGAGGGTGGCAGAGTATTAGGTGGCTCAGCGCCTGGACTGCAGTTCCTGGGACCCTCCCAGCCCCGGGGCCCAGGGCTCCTCCCTACCTCATAGGTGTGCTCCACTTTGGGGCCCCAGGTGTCTGAGACGTTCTCCTTGTTGCCTTCTTCTGCCGCCACCACCAGGAAGGCTGGAAAGGAGCTCCTGCAGGGGCCCAAGCTCCCAACGTAAGCTTGACCCCCTGACTTGCTGTGGGAGTCCCCCCAGGACCCCTCGAGCCTTAGGACTCGGCCTGCCGTCTCCCTTATCCTTCCCCGGCCTCTCACCCTCGAAGCTCCACATGGGCCTCCGCACGGATTGGCACATCCAGCACCACCTCCTCACTGTTTGGATTCTGGCTGTTCTTGCTGGAGGGGAGGGGATGAGAAGCAGGTCAGGGACAGCAGCCCACTGGACATCAGAACCCTCTGGGGGCGGGCCCCGGACTTCAGAGGGCTCAGGAAGACCTGACTCTTTTTCTTTCTTTCTTCCTTTCCTTTCTTCCTTCCTTCCTTCCCTCCTTCTCTCTCCCTCCCTCTCTCTCTCTCTCTCTCTCTCTCTCTCTCTTTCTTTCTTTTTTTTTGCCACCCACACCAAGGTTAACCTGGGAAAGAACTTCTCTTTGGGCTCCAAGACTCAGAAACAAGTCTCTGAGGAGGAAAGGGGACAGGGAAGTCTGAAGAGCCAGCATCCCAGGAGACCCTTCTGCATGGAGGTCACCTGCGTGTCTCCGCATCAGGTGCTCCCCAGTGCAGTACCTCCTGATCTGCAGCCGGAAGGACACTTGCTCCCCAGCCTCTTCCAGGTTCTCCACACTCACCAACATGGTGATTCCTGCCTGAGAGACCGGAAGGGCCAAAGTCACTGCACAGATGCCCACTCTGAACACTGCATGTGGCCTCCAGGCCTCCTCTCCACCGTCACCGTTATTATCTCCGTCTTACTCAGAAGCCCACTCATCCAAGATCGCACAGCTAGGGAGTGGGAGGACCAGGGTTCCGGCCCCGGGCTGACTCCAAACCCAGCCACCAAAACCCAGCTGCCTCTGAGGCCCTGGTGGAGGAGGCCCAGCACCCAAGACTCAGCGGCCTCACCCGGACATTCCTCTTCATGGGGTTGCCCAGCTCACACAGCACCACCTTGGTCTCGTTCTCCTTCTTCTGGTTACAGACCAGCCTCTCAAAGCCCTTTCAGGAGGTAGTTTCAAGAAAGAGGATGGTTACAGAGCAGCCCATACATATGGAAACTCCTTGGAAAGCCTGGGAAAGACTTCGGTGCCAGGGTGGGAGGAGGGCTTCTAGGGGTGGGAACACAAAGGACTGTGACATTCTACTTTATGTATCACTCTAGCACTTTATCATAATGTAAAACATTACAGAGACCGTGATCCCATTGTTATAAACTACCCGACAAAATAAAAGAAATGTGTGGCTCTGGCCAGGTAGCTCAGTTGGTTCGAGTGTCCTTATGATACACCAAGGTTTCAGGTTTGATCCTTGGTCAGGCCACATACAAGAATCAACCAATGGCCCCAGCTGGTTTTGCTCGGTGGATGGAGTGTCAGCCTGCAGACTAAAGGGTCCTGGGCTTACTTCAGGTCAAGGGCACATGCCCGGGTTGTAGGCTTGATCCCCAGTAGGGGGTATGCAGGAGGCAGCCAATCGATTCTCATCATTGATGTTTCCATCTCTCCCTCTTCCTCTCTGAAACCAATAATAATAAAAAAATAATAAAAAAGATAGTTCCTTTTTTTAAAGAGTCTACCAATGAATGCATAAAAAAGTGGAACAACAAATTGATGTTTCTCTCTCCCTTTCTAAAACAAAGAAACAAATAAATGTATGTCTGTCGATGTTGAGAAAAAAGACTAGAAGAAGATCGACCAAATGTTAACAGAGGTTCCTATTAATATTTAGTTCTTGAGCCTTTTTTTGTTTCTGAATCCTCACTGGAGGACATACATAATGTATTTTAAAGACAGGGGAAGCGAGAGAGAGAGAGGGTGAGAGAGAGAGAGAGAGAGAGAAAAACATCGATTGGTTGCCTTCCGTACATGCCCTGGCCTGCAACCTAGGTATGTGCCCTGATGGGATATGGAGCCCACAACCTTTTGGTGCACAGGGCGATGCTCCAACCAACTGAGCCACACTGGCCAGGGCTTCCTGAGCCATTTTGACTTGGGTTTTACAATCAAGTTCTTGAATTTGGGACCATTAACAAGTACTCCTCTTCCGAGCAAAAAAATAAAATTAAAAGATCACAGGTCTTACACAAAGCATGAGAAGCGGGGCTCTCAGGGTGGGAGAAGGCCTACACCTCTCAGGTCCGAGGAATCCCCCGGGGTGGGGGCCTCACCTGGACGTTGCTGACGGCCCGCATGAAGTGGGCACCTTGGGGCAGGTGCACGGCCAGCTCAGCCTCATAGGCCCCCTCCCCGTCATTGGCTGCATCTATCTTTAGCTCCAACACGTTATCGGCTCCAATTAGGAGCGGGGCACCCGTCGTCCTGTGGGGAGAAAGGATTAAGAGGCTGTGTCTAGGCCCAGGGTCTGGGAGGAGGAGGGGGGTGAGGACAGCGTATTGGTGTATGACACCCCAGGTGGGGAGGAGGTGTCACCGGTGAGTGGGCCAGGGGAGGGGAAAGTGGGAGGTCTCCTCACACGTTGGCGGCGAGCTGAAGCTGGGGCACACACAGGTCATCTTCCCCGCAGTCCAGGATGATGCGGGTCTACAGGGGGCAGGCACATCGGGGTATGTGGGTAAGTTGGGGGCAGGTGAAGTTAGGGGATTAGAAGATCTGAGAATGAAGGAGTGCTGAGATAACATCAGGGCTTTGGGGTTGGGGACAATGTCATGGTTTAGGTCAGCGGTTCTCAACCTGTGGGTTGCGACCCCTTTGGGGGTCGAACGACCCTTTCACAGGGGTTGCCTAAGACCATCGGAAAACATATATAATTACATAATGTTTTTGTGATTAATCAGTATGCTTTAATTATGTTCAATTTGTCACAATGAAATTGGGGGTCACCACAACATGAGGAGCTGTATTAAAGGGTCGCGGCATTAGGAAGGTTGAGAACCACTGCTCTAGAAGCTGGAAGAGGCAAGGACCTGTTCTCCCCTGCAGCCTCAAAAAGAAAACTGCCT